ATTATGCATAATGCAAATTAATTTAAGAATACTTTCAGCAAGTAGAGCTGTCGGTTTGGATGCCATTGTTTTTGTTAAATGGAATTGAGATTAGTAGTCTAAAAGATGTGGAGAGTAGGATCTGTATCACGGGGCAGTTTTTCCAGTTGTTTTAAGAACTGACAGGACTTGGTTCCTGGATAAAATGTTTAGCAAGGTCCCAAGACACCCATAGTCAAAGCAATTCAATCTGCATTCTTGTTGTGCTGTGAGCGGTCATTTCCCCAGTGCTATCAGGCAAGAGTCAGCGGTGACAGCTTTACGAACCGTGAACTCCAGTGGAAAAGTGCAGTTACTTATCTGGCTTCATCACATATAGAAAACAGGGCTGAGTCAGGCGTTTCCAAACTCTATGTTTATATCAAAGTATTCATGGAAAACCTTAGTAGCTTTTTTCCTCTCTTGCACCCCAAATATTTGTTGTACTGTTCACGATATCAAATGTTGTCTGCTGTAATTTCTTGGTCCGAAGAATCCAGTAATCCTGGTTTAAGGTGCTCCCACTTTTTCTTTCCATTCCACGCCACTGTTGTTTGCTGTTCCATCCGTACTGCTTGTGGCTGCTTAACCAGCCACAATTTGTTGGCAGCAGCTGCTGGCAGAGTCATTTGGTGAGTGGGAGCAGCAAACTGATTCAGGTTTTAAAATGAGTAATCCCACCTTCTGTCCTCATTACAAGAAGGACGTGGAATAGTTTCAGTTGGTATTTCCACCAAACGCTTCTTATCATGAACTCACCTCTTGATGCTCACAAGGTTTTGTTTTCATTAAAAGTCAAATTTATTTGGAGAATATGAAGAGGCAATGTTTGTTTATTTTTAGTAAGAAAGCTGATGAAATGAAAAGAAATGCTTCATTGTATAAAATTGTTTCAAAAACATCGAGCATCTTAAATGAGTAAGTAAAGAAACAAGTCAGAGGGAAAGGTGCAGAACTAAGGATCCAGTGACACATTTCTGACTCACATACACTAAAGCAGCTGTCTTCTACACATGACATGTTTTGTTGAGTTCTCCTGTAGCTGGTGTCAATTTCTGAATATGCAGCTAATTATTTGATTGCATACAAATTGTGAATAATGGGTGGTACTATAAACACAAAATGTTTTGATTTTTGCTCCTAGGAATAAGTGCTGCAAACAATGGAAATCAGATATTTGTGAAAAAAGCCCAAAACATGCAAGAAAGATGAAAATATATTTGTGAATATGACCATGTTTCTATGTTGCATGACATATACATCTTTGGTTTTGCTTACTAATTGCATAAATAGTTGTGCATAACAAAAAAAGAAAAAAAATCCATCAAAATATCACTTTTTTAACAAATGAAAGCCAAAAAGAAAAAGACGTAAGTATATATAAGTATTCGCATCCTACGAAATAGTCTTCATTTTACCTATGACAAACAAACTCTAAGATCAATAACTACATTACAAAGTAGCTACCTTTAAAGACAAGATATCTAAAAATATCTCCAATAGTATTATAAATACAAGAGGGTTTCACACACATGCTGGGAATGGAAACCAAATTTAATATTCTCAGGGTGTTTGGATATTAAAATGAAAATATTCCCAGTAATGTTCACAAAATGAAAACATTAAAGAATGAAATATATTTTATAAATGGCCTTTATGATTGATCATAAATGGAGGGTTAATGCTGTGGAATCAATCTTAATCTGAATTCTATTCTAATTCTATTCTATTACATGTGTATTTATAAATAACTTTAATTTTTTTACATTCCTGCCATTTTACTAAACTAAGTAGTTTAGAAAAGTTACTTAAAAAGTTATTGTACAGAGCAGGAGAAAATCTTCTGTCATTAAAAAAGCAGAAGAAATTGCATTAAAATGAAAAAATAAATCTGAATTTTTAGGTCAATATATTAAGTCAGGTATAAAAGAATAAAGAGCTAAATAAGAACAATTGAAAATCTGTGCTGAGGAACTCAGTCTTGGAAATTGTTCTTAATTGAAACAATTTACTTTTCAATAGCAAAATCATTTACATCCTGGAACTGAGGAAAGTCATAATTTTTGCTCTAAGGAATTTGTGAAGATCAAATCATACCATGAATCACTTACTGAAATTACAAAGTAATTAATAAAATGACTTGGGCTTCATTTTAATATCTGTTCCCTTGAGGGAGTTGTTAGAGTGCTGGACATCTCTCATCTGGTTTTTGTGTTGGGGGTTTGTTCTCCAGCAATTTTTAATGACATAATCTTTTCATGAAAGGCAGATACTGATATTCATGAACACAGTTTGCCTTGAAATGTAATTGAAGTCCTGCCTTTTATCCTGTTTGACCACTTTTCTGGTAATTCTATTTGTATATAATAAAAGCAAATTTCACCTGGAATATGCCTACAATGTCTACCAATGATTTTTACTCAAAAAGCTAATAGATCTAATAGTACTTGAAGTTGTCATTCAGGTGTAAGACAATCTTTTTCCCCTTGTATCCATTTTCACAAATGTGGATTGGTAGAAAAATTCAATAAATTTAATTATAGTATTTTATATTAATTGAAGAAAATACTGTGGAGAGAGGAACAATGCAGTGGAAGGACTTTAGGTCATAAATGTGGATATATGTTGTTTACATTGCTGGTCCCCATATATGGAATATATTATTAAGGTGCATGGTTATATAGTTTTTGCAGTGACTAGAAATAGTTGCTAATATAACAGCGCAGACTGGAATGATTTTTAGACTAAGATATGATAGGAAAGGGTTGAAAAAGGTAGAGGGAGTTCATCTGGGCTCTTTGAAGCCTTCTAGTTATTTATGCTTCACAAAATAGCTATAAAAATAACCAGTGATCATTCCAAGACCATTGTTAGATTTGAGGTTTTATAATGCAGCTCTCCGGTTACTATTGATTCATAAATTCACCAATTTTGGTGGACACAGAACACATACCATGCTACTGTTGATGTAAGGGTAACAACATTTTGCATGTTCTGTACTGCCCTGCTCTTCTGGTATACCACTAGGTATGTGTAGCTATTTATTTCTTTATATATTCTATTCAGTACACGTGTATAAAAGATACATTCAAAACATGTAGGATTATTTCCATTTACCATAAAAGTAATTTAAAATCATTGAATATAATATTTTAAATGAGATCATGTAATTTGTAATTGAAGACGTATATAATAAAGTTTTTTTAATTTCTTTTATCTATACCAAAAACCTAAAATAATATCTAGGTAGTCTATGCCCTCCTTAGGGCAGGGATTATTCAAAAGAGAATATATTTCTCTCAACTCTATAGAACTTAAACTTACATTTATGTTTTTTTACCTTTGTAATTTATAACGGAAGATGAAATCTTGAAAGCTTTATATCCCTAATATTCAATATACTTTACATTATACATATCTTTGTGATTGGAGGAAGAAATAGTAGAATAAAATACACAACTCAGGCAGACAGCCCTTAGATGTATTGGAGAAAAAAATGAAAACGAACTGTAGAATGGAAATGTATGGCTCCAAAAATGCACCATTTACTGAAAACATCTATTGTAAAAGTTTTATATCACCCTATTTCTACATATTTCTAAATTTATGTTCAGATGGGTTATTTTCAATAAGCTAGGCTAGCTTTGGCAGACTCATCTATCAGTTTTGCTTCTTTCCTTGGCCACAGGTGTAATCCAAGGCTAGGGGTTTTCTGTAGAGGTGCATGATGATACCTTGATACTTTCTCTATCAGAAGTTAAAATAAAGCCTTAATCTATATATGGAAAACTTCATTGTGTTTGAATAGAAATCTTGTTAAAATATTTACATGTGAAGTTAAGTAACCAGTTCTAATTTCATCTTTTGTTGTTTTGCTGTTTCATTGTCTTTTGAAATATTACTGCCTAAAATATAGCTATAGAAGAGTTTCTGGTATGTGGCATGTTGACGGTATTGCAGAAGTAATACAGGTCAACTACAGGCTGCATTTGTGCAGGCAAACTGTCAGTGCTGACTAACAATCCGTTCAGGTTGGTACCATGTGCAGGTTCTCAATGACAATTTTTACCTACCAAGAAAGATGTGATTAGAAATAACTGGCAAATTAAATTATAACTCAGACAGGTATGCCTGTTTCCTCTGATGCTTTCTTGCAAATGCATACATGCAAATAGGAAAATTAGATCTCAAATTAGAATTCATGTTGCTGTCATGACAGATCTTAAGAGTAATTTTTTTGTTTTGGATTTTTTGGATTTTTTGGGGTTTTTTTTGTTTAGCTTTTTTTTTTTTCAGTCCTCTTTTAGACATAGAAGAGTTTGCTTCAGGGGTATTTATTTGTGGTTTGTCTCTCTGTTTTTAAGTACTCGGTAGTTAACACACTCTGTAATATAAGTAGATTGTCTGTCCATGCCCAATGTTTAACCAACTGTGCTTTAAAAATTCAGCCCTGTTTACCTTCGGAAATTTGAAAAAACACCGCTGTACCTTTTTTTTCTTGCAATCTATCCTGTTTGGTTTATAGTTCTAACAAACACAGTTCTTTTCTGTTAAGGTTTCTCTGTGAATGACTGAATGCAACTGATATATGAATATTTCGTCCTTTAAAAATGTTACCCTGAATCTCCAGCCTAACACTGACAGGACAGTCTGTATGGGGGCATGGTTCAAATAGTTTAAGAGCAAACACATTCATTTGGATGTGACCCATAGATGTTCAGTAGACCCAAAGAGGCTCCCATAGCAGGAGGAAAGTACTCAATTTTCAGAAGCTCAGTATATCAGATTTATCTGTCAGTAGCAGAAATGCCTGTCAAGGGGAGAAGTCTACCTGAAATCACCTCTCAGACAGGGGAGGGTTAGATTACATCTGCTCAGTTGTAACTGACACAATTTATCCTCTTTTATGTGCTGATAAACAAAGAATCAAGAGTTGAACTTTGTAGTACAACTAATGCAATGCAGTCTATATTTTTCAGCAGCTCCCCATGGCTAGATTCAGATATGCAGTGGAAAACCACAGGAGGACTGGTGAGCAGTTAAAGATTTTACTTCCTTTTAGCACCTTTGTGGTAGGAGGCTAGAAGGTGATATTTGTATTATACATGGCGAAAGTTAGACATTGGCCTGGTCATTACTGATGAGTCTAGCTTGAAAAGCAAGCTGGAGGAAATGCATGCAGTAGTGAGGGACAGTTTGCTTCACAGTAGAAAGGATGGATTACAATTTGTTGCTTGTTGTGTGCTTCTACAGGTGTAAAAGCCTATTAATCACCATAAAAACAATTTCTGAAATACCAGTGAAGTACAGTAGTGGTGCCACTGATCTGGCAAAAGCATTCATGTGTTTCTAAAGGTAGATGCTTAGGCATGACAGCAGATATTTCAGATCTGTGAGTCTTCAAACACAGAGGCAAGCATTGGTTCATTAATAACATTCAGAGGACCTAAAATCTATAGTTATATCCCAATATGAATACCATGCAAAAGTTTAAACCAAACTAAAGAGAAAGAGAAAGTTTTGTCTTGTGGTTCATAACTCATGTACAAAAGTCATCCTTTTTTACAGGCACCCAAAATGCTGTTTTAAAGACGCTCCAGCAGTTGTTTAATGCAGTTTCCTAGTATGAAATAATCTAATTTACATATAGATTAAGAATCTATTTATGGCATCTGTGATGAAACAAATAAATGTGGGAGTCACAAAATCTTTATTGTATCTATTCAGTGCTGTTTGATTTCTGCTTGCATTATAGTCCCATTAATGTTACTACTTTAACATACAGCATACGTCAAACATTTCTTACCAAAATTCATGAATTCATGGCCTGAGTTCATGAAAACCTTATCAATAGTCAAGTGTTAGCTTTAATTACTTAATCTAAATATACTTTGAGACTTAAACAAATTGGGGCATCACATATTGCAATTCTACTGCCTACTGGAGAAATATCAGACATATGTACTCTATTATAAAAGCAGTCACAGTGTCACAATATTAAAACTAATATATAAACATAGTTATATGTAAACTATGAGTGCATTTAAATTGTAGGATTTTAAATATAAAGCAGAAAATACAAAAAAGGTTTCAGCTTTGAGATTGCTACATTTTCTAAACTTTATGATCAACACTGAAAACTAAAGTTTTCAGCTGTTAGGATAATTACCTTTGTATCCTGAAGCCATTCCTTTAAGTACAAAGTTTCTGAAGAATCTGACGAGTCCATAAGAATGATGTATATGTGGTCACATATTCCCATTGCTAGAGAATGAAAAGAAATTACTTGCAGAATTTGTTGATAATACTAATTTGATTTTAGTTGATGTTTTTTCTTTAACTTCAACAGTTTAGTACATTTTAAAATTTTTATTTTATTGTTTCAAAGCAATATAATTGCTCCTTCATATAGTTACTTCTTTATTTGATTTCTCTACCTTATTATGCCACATGTTCCATATATTCTCTGTTGGAGATTCTATTCTGCATGCTTCATTTTTTTTATTCAATTTTCTATTAAATATATTCTGTTAATGCTATTGATGTGTGAAACTCTTAACCTTTGAACTGGTTGATTTTCAAATTTAATGGTGCATATTAATATAGAATTAACATAGGTTTTTGCACTTAATATAGAATTTCTAGGTAATCCATCAGTCATGGGATCTCTTCTAGCTTCAACTGTGTGTATGGAAATATTTGTCCTCTTTTGTCAAGTTTTTGGGGTTTTTGTTTAAGAGAAGCCCACTTTTGCCATGTCTCTAAATTCAGAGAAGAAATTAGTATTTTGAATGCGAACATAAGTTTCTGAAATTTAGGAGAGTTTTCTCAACAGGGAGACTGAGGCTGATTTATAGAGTCAGCCTATATGATGGGGCATGGGCAAGTATGCAGCAGTAACCAGGAGAGAGGCAAATTTGGAAACTAAACTGATTGAAAGACTTCATCTGAGAAAGCAACAACTAAGACCTTGACTCTGAAGATGCTAAAGCTGTAAGTTTACAGTCATGTAGCTAAGGGTCATATTACAAAGAATCGACCAAAGACTACTGAAATAATACTGTGCAAGGGTCTTTGAATTGTCTGAACTTCAAACAAGTGAAATGTTGTTTCTATGATGGTTTGTTTATTTATTTATGTAGTAAACAGCATAATTTATAAGACCAAACTCTATTATTTTTAAGGGTTTTTTAATAAATTCTAGAAATGTATAGTTTTTGCCAAGTCTTTTTGCTTAGAAGATACCATTTGCCTATCTTCTTTCTTCCGTTTACTAGGAAATGCAATGGCTTTGTGATGTTTTTCTGCCTGCTTGGAATCAAAAGTAAAATCTGTTTCATGAATTCAATAGAGCACTTAATTCACTCTCTACAAACATCCAGAAAAAAGAAAGCATGGAGGATCTAACAAATGATGCCAGCTTTTCAGTTCCACAAGGGAGGACCAAACAGGTTCAAACTGAAGAAAAGTTAGGGAAAAGCATCCATCCATCCCTAACATATTTAGACAGGGAGATCTAGAGCATGAAGAATATGTAAGTTCCTTAGAAGGATGACTAGCTGTCATCATAGTGATGTGAAAAGAAGCAGAATAGTGTTTTAGAAGATTTATGTGGCAATTTAGTTTAAACTCTGATAATCTGGATTGAGCAGACTCCATTTCCTGAGAGAAACTACAAGTGTATAGAAGAGAGAAAAACAAAAAGGAAATTAAAGGAAAAACTCCTCACCCCTCCACCTCCCTGACAAACTCTGAAAAAAAAATATGCCCAAAACACATTCCTCTTGTAAAATCACCAGCAGGAGCTTTTTCATAGAAAGGGGGGTAAAGGTACTTTTTATCTTTCAAAGAACTCTGATTATGATACCAACTAGGTGATTTACTGCTCCCCACAACAGTTTTTAGCAGTAGTCAGTGTAAGTCTCTGAAAGCAAGGAGGTACTTTCTTCTGATGCTCATGCCTATGAGATACTTGAAAACAAAGCTGTTACAAACACAAGGCCTAATATTGCTATACACTGGTCACCAGGAAAAACACTCTTGCTAATGTACACACACATACCACGTCTTTTTCACGACACGTGCCCTATCACATTTCCTCTAGAAATATGCTTACTGGAGAAAAAGGAGAGGAATGTTTAATGATTTATGATTAAAATCAGAGGAAATCAGAAATACCAAAATGGAATCTTGATGTTTTGCAAAAAACATGTTCTTTAAGAAGGGGAAGACTGGTTTGCTATATGAAAGGGTTAAAAGAAACAGCTACACAAAATGCAGACAATGCTGAGAAGTGGATTTCTTCTCACCACCACAATGCAGCAGTTTGGACCTGGCTTGTTTAATATTTCACATGAAAAATCCTCGGAGACTGACTTGACAGACACAGCATTTTTTGAGTAAACCAACAACTTCAAAAGCAGAGAGTCACCACTCCAGATGGTACATACACAGAAGTGTAAAAAAGCTTAACTGTGCAGTGACTGAGCTGACAATAGAAAGATACAGTCCCTTACTCCAAGCAGCCAAATGGCTCAAATGTTCGCTAAGCTAAAATTGTAACTCTGCACTGATTTCACTGAATCATGCAGAATTGTTGAGTTTGGACAGGACCTCTGGAAGCCACCTTGTCCCACCCTGCTGCTGAAGCAGGGCCACATAAGGTCAGTTGCTCAGGACCATGTCCAGATGGTTTGTGAAGATCTCCGAGGATGAAGACTCCACAAGTGCTCTGAGCAGTGTGTGCCAGTGTAGAATCGCTACATAGTAAAACAAGTGGGTTTTCCATGCGATTCCATACATGTTAAGATGGACTCTCCTGGTTTTATGTCCATTTGTGTCTTGTTCTCTTTTAATTATGAGTTTAGCTACATATTTTATCGTTAAATATTATATGTGTTTTCTGGGACATTTTAAAACAGTAAGTCTTTACATCAATATGTGACAACTTGCTGTTCAAAAAATAATTAAAAAATGGGACTTAGAATGCCATGAAATAATGAAACATAGCCAACGTAGACAACATATGTTTTCTACAAAAAAACCCAAAACCAAACATCTTTCCCTCAGTTCTTCATTTAAAGTGTAAATGTCAAAAATGTAATGAATAAAAGAAATTTAGGAACATGCTGTGTTCAGACTTGCAAAAGTTTGTTCATTTGGTTTCATATGGAAGAGCCTGTAAAGAAAGTAAGATAGTGATGGAAAGAGAGTCAATGAAGATATAGATATAACTCTCTCTATATATATAAAATACATACAAAAGTATGTAAAAATACACATATTGGAATATGCTGCTAAATACATCTCGTAACATGCCCAGTTCCAAATGTAGAATCTTTATCTAACAACCAGGGTGAAGAGGTTTTCAACAGCAGTGAGTTTCTATAACTCCTTCTCTCATTGTTCAGTTAAAAGAGATAATGAGAGAATTTTTAAACATGGTGAATCATTGGGTGGATCCAAATATCTGTTTCTGGGAAAATGTGTTATTCAGATGGCTAATATTGTGTGTAGCAGACAAAATAATTGGGGGTGGATTTTTTTTTTATTTTTGAAGGCAATACTTTTGCACTTGGCCAAGCACCAGCAACTCCTAATTTCTAGTTTACTGGTGTTATAACTTGTATCATAAAATATCACCTACAGACTAAAATTTTCTGCTTCCCTTTTTCTTTTATTAGAAGAAACTGGGTTTTTCTTTAGCCAAATATGATCATTATATTTAGATCCCTAGTGTGAAGCAGTTGTCAATTTCTTATTCTCAATAATCAAGTCAGTGATGTATATCTATACAGATATATAGATATATAGATATATAGATATATAGATATATAGATATATAGATATATAGATATATAGATATATAGTATAGTAAAATGTCTTGGTTTGAAAAGATAGGTGTCTACTAAGTAAGGCCAGAGTCTCTCTTGAAAATGTAAAACCCCTTCCTCCAAATTTTTATAATTTTGAAATTAAGAGTCTCTCAGGCAAAGATATGGGAGTAGGAATAGCAGTTCTTTATTAGGAAAAATAATTTTTTAAAAATGCAGTAATACAAAACAACACGGACAGAGTCAGAATACGGCCTGACACCCTGTGGGTCAGAGTGCTGAATGGTGGCTGCAGTCCTCCTGGAGTGGCAGATGTGGTTCTATTGAAGCAGTGATCTGTAGAGTGCGTAGTTTTCCTCCGAAGGTCCAGTGGTGGTGCAGATGGGCCTTATCTTCCTCTGGGAATCCAGTGGGAAAAGGCTGCCTGTGGTGTTCCAAATCTCAGATTATATCCAGTTAGGAATGTTTGGCTCCTCCCCCCGGGCAGAGCATGCCACAACGGGATGATGTAATTTTATCAGTCATGCAGCAGGACTCAAGGGCCCATTAACAGCAGATATTTCTCAGAGGGAGGATGGGTTGTGGAGGAGATAAAGAAAACTGCCCCACCTGATTTTAACACGTGGCCTATTAACAGAAGACAACAGCCCCACCTCTAACAGATGGCAGTGGTGGAAGAATACATATCCCTGGCCACATCTTGCATTTGCAACCTAAGACATAAAGTTAGCAATTTTTTACATGTAAGATGGAAAAAATGTCATTTCTTTATTACTATGTAAATATGAGAGGTTTTTACAAATCACTTAACATTTGATAAAAATGGAGTCAGGCCTGAAAGTAAAAAAGAAAGAAAGATGTCCAAACTGTTTGTTCAGTAAATTGAAATTGAAGATTGAAAATGGAAAGCTTTGATTTTAATCTATGTCAAAGGGTTTATTTTAGCTTTTTTTTTTAAGACAAGTTTTATGAAATATTTATCTTAGAAATGGACTATTTGCTTACTCTGCTTCTTGTTCACCCCAATCTTTTGATGCAATTACTGCTTAAGAAGGCTAAGTTAAGAATGCAGTATTATATATTTGAGAGTCTTTATCCTTATATATTACACTCAGGAAAGGCTGAAATACATTTTCAGCAACAGCCACTTGATGTACTGTGCAAACAAATACTTCATGTGACCTTTCAGAGAAAAAATATTTCATGATTATTTTAGTCATCCAATTAAAACAAATAAACAACCAAAAAAAAACCCCAAAAATTCAATTTCTTTACATACCTTTCACTTTCTCAATGACAAGCTAAAATCCTGTTCATGTTGCTATGTAAGATGATAAGTCAGTCTCAGACAACCCCAGCTTGCAACATATGAGGTGCTGTAAAAAGAATACCACTATTGTAATAAATGTCCTCATATATGAAACATGAAATATGAATCGACCTATTTTATATTCACAAGCTAAAAATTTTATGTTTCTAGCTTTAGTTAATTCAGTCACCAAGATGTTCTGAAAACCCAATGGAACTTAAGTCCAGGATTTACATGTCTAAAGTGGTTCATGATTATTTCAGGATAAAATAGCAAATACCCTGCCACAATAATTTTTTCAAGTCCCTACAAGGTAATTCCATCCTTAACCAGAAGGAGAAAGTAGAGTAATTTAGGGAGTTTGCAGGTGAGTTTACAAACCTTTTCATGCCAAGCAGATTTTGTTGCACAGTTCAATTTATGATTCAGTACACAGAGTAGTCAAGAACATAACAGCATAACTATCCACAAGAAAACTCACACTGTCTCATTCAGAGAAACATTTGCAGATGATGGTTAAGTATTATATAGATAAAAATGCTCTGGGATTTGTGGTGGTTTTGGTTTTATTGATTGGAGGATGATACTGATGTTGCTACAATTCCCCCAGTAAATTAAATCATCTAGACCAAAATGAGGCTTTGAATCATAAAAAGAGATTTCCATTTTTTCAGAGTGTGAATGCTATGCTTTTCACTGATTAATAAGTAGAGTTGAATACCTATAAGAAACTCAGAAAATAAATTTTAGGTAAATCTCTGATATTTTAATTTGTACTTGGACTGAGTGAGCAGTGTATAAGACAAAGGAGGAATCAAAAATGCTATTTGTTTTTCATGATTTATATAATTGTGAAGGGAAAACCATCATGAAATCAAGGTGCTGTGCCTCATCAGAGCTGTGACCTGATTTCAAATATATCCTCTGATTCTCTTGTACATTGCCCTTTTATTGAAAGATTTAACTTTCTGAAGCACATGGTGGCTACAGCTAAAGGACTCTTGAGTTAAAGCAGAGGAGAAGAAGATATAGAAGGCAAATAATGTTTGCATGTTTAGTAATTAAGTAGTGCAAGACTAAATACGCATGATTAAAATTTTTGGAAAAGTCATCTAATATAGCACCAATTTTATAAAGCTATACAACAAAAGCAATTGTTGTACATATTTTTTCATACCAAAGGTAGAATTCTGTGTCTAACCTTGAGTTCATTGTTTTCTGGATTCAATTGACCCTTAAGTATTAATTCCAATATTAAAATATGTCATAACAACATGCACAGAAAAAGAAAGAGTGTTTTCTTTTTTGCACTGATTGATCTAAAAAAAGAACTTTGTCCATCATGTAGCCACAATATACTTTTAGCTCGAACAACAACAGATTTAACAACAGGGTGAATGTTTTCCACTTTTCCTAGGTAATGAAAGTTTTAAAATCCCTATTATCAAAGTTCATTTTGCTGTTTAAGAATACAGGACAGCAAAAACACAAAGGAAAAAGAAAAAATGGCAATCATTCTGCAAGACTAGAAAAAAAGCTGGATGAGAATTTACTTTACAAACCTTTAGTAATATTTTTCTTTCTTACATCTGGGTGTTCACATGTCTGTAAGACAGTTGCACACTCTTAAGTGTGTTTGTATATAAATGCCATCAAGACAGAAACTTCAAAAATATTTTATGAATAACATAGTCAGTACCTCACTTCAGATGTTTTTGCTTGGTCTTTGAAATAGGTATGATTCTGCTGAAGTTATAAGAGCTATGTTTTGTTATTTATTTTCATAAGCAAGCTGGTCTTCCTAAAGTCAACTAAGTTCTTTGCTAGTTACATGTACAGTTACAAACTAGTATATGTCCCCAGATTCTTTCATTTTCCATTCAGCCATCTTTTGCCATATTTTTTGATTAACTCTATGTTCATGTTTTTCTTTTTATTTTAAAGAAATAAAAAGAATTGTTAGAACAAAAAATATAGTAAGCCTCTGTGAATGAATTCATCATATCCTGTAACTTTTACAAAAGTACTGCGCCAAACTGTAGTGCCAGAGAGGAATTTAGTGGAATACAGATTTAGATATAATTGGCAGTTAGGTAGACATGCTTGCTTCTTCTTGCAGTATAATATGCACTAAGTACCACTGGTAGAGGTTTATTTTGTTTTATGCTGCTTTCTTTAACCATATCTGTGAGAAAGAGAGAGTAGAACAAGTTTTCTTTCCTTGTAAAGCCTCCAAGCTTCAGAAACTGAGTGTCATTAACAGTGATAGGAGAAACCTTCAAGAAAAACATTGCCACTTGAAGCTAATGAATGCACCTACTCATTTAGAATGTTTTGCTCACAACTTAGAAGCTCTCATTCATTGCCTTTTTTTTTCATTATACCCTGGTCTTATTTCAAATCCATCCCAAAGTAATTTTTGATTGTCCTGTTGTTCTTTCTAACCTTGTGACCAGATGTAACACTGCATGTTTTCCCAAAAAAAACTTTTAAGCACTCTCTCTGACACAGTCTGAGCCCCAAATACACAGGCCCAGGTAATCCTATTCATACATGCATGTATATACATGGCTTGTATTCAAGCTTTGGCATTTTTACTGGTCTATCTGTGTACTCTTGTAGCCATGTGATTTCCTAACGATATAAAATTTCTTACTCATATTGATCCTACCTCCTACTGCCCTTCATTACATCCTTGGGGATCAGCGTGCTCCTCTTAGAATACATTAGTCATTCATTACTAACGCCATAAAAGCCCTGGAGTCCTAGAAGAGAAGAGTCTTTCCTTTTACCTTTCTGCTCTCTCACTCTTAATAGTTAACTCCCAGCTGCTATTTCATTTTTCTTCTGTCATGAAAGCTGTAACTACATTATTAAAATGGCATGCAGCTCTAAAACTACTATCAATTACACTAATTAAGGTCAAATAGAATTAAACAGCACTCATTGTGGAAAACAATGAAAGCAATGTAAACCTCTATTAATTTATTTTACATCATATGTACATATGACAGTTTCTACACATCTTCTTATTAATTATTTTTGGGTAGTCTCTTATAATGACTTCTCTAGGATGCATTTTGCTCTTTTCCATTTGAGAACTAAACACCCAGATGGAAATTTTTTTTTTTTTTAACTGTGTAAGTAGAAATGACCTCTTTTTTTAGAAAAACTATTTTCTTGGGTTTTGTTTGTGTGAAGAGAGAACATTATGAATTTTCAACATTTGCCATCCCTGCAGCTACAAGGAGGATAACAAGCCAAGGAGGACTTGACATATCTGCAAGAAATATGTTCTAACTAGGTCTAAAATCTAGTTTTACAATGGAAAATGCATGTTTCCTCTCAGTAGCTGTCCCTCAGTACTGTCAATCTGAAAGACACACTGTAGAAAATTACATTTAGTGGAAAATAATATATATATTCTAAGAGACTTTTTAGAGGAAATGAATTTTTTGATTTCTGTTTTCTATCATGCAGATTATTATTCTGAATGAGAAAGAAGCTGCTGAAATTTGGCTAAAGGAATTTAAAAAACCAAAAATCCAAAACAAATCACCTAACAATCTGACTTTAAATATTTCAGATTATTTATTAAAAAATGATGGCATTTTCATCTCTTTACTGAGAGATCCTATCTAAGCCATAATATCTCTCCTCATCTGCACGCAGTCATTTTTGAGTAAACAGTCATTCTGCTTAGCCAGCCGGGGACTGCAAGGAATATATTTTTCATTTTAAAGGATACTGGAACATGTTTCCTCTCTTGGTATCAGCAGTGCTCACTCCTGACCATCACAGTGAATTGCTGTTTTCCTGCATGTCTGTGAGTAGGGTTCTTGAAGGCAGCTGAAAGAAATTATTCATCGTGGAAAGTTACTCTGCACAAAAAATATCATCCTTGAACACAATAATCTTGATAAACAGTTCTTTAAATACAAAGCAAGGTTAGTTCCAAGTACAAACAGTGTTTCACAATGGAAAGTAAGAAATACCAAGAAGAACTCCTTTCTTTTTAATCTTTTGAAGCACAATCATTGCCTCTTTATGAGTGTTTCTAACTAGTGCTTCAAGGTGTTGAATAATGCAAACAGAAGGAGAATGAGAGTGAGGGGTCTAAAAGAGCTGCTTGAGAGAATGAAGGATCATAGGCTGCAGCAATGACTCACTGTAACACAAAATGCTCTGTGGTTAAATTATTCAGACTAGACAGGGTGTTGTAATTAAAAGTAGTTACCATTCCTCCCAGATAACATCCCAAAGAACTTTTTTAATGAACAGGATCATTTCATTAACATATTTTTTGTGATTAAAAATTTAGAAATGTCTTCCTTTAAATTTCTTCTAAATGACCCCAAATTAACCTACAGAGACATTTCACTCATAAGAGATGTTTTGGTACACAGTGAAAGTTTCAAATGAAATTTTGGCACAGCCCCATTTAATCTACAATGACACAACTGAATTTCAACAATTAAAAGCTGCACTAGTTTAAATCTGCTGGAGATTCAGCCTCACCTAACTTGAAGGCAATAACTACCATTTTGTTATTGATTATGTGTTCCCTATCCCATTGAGGTAAAGCTAAATAAAAAAGTTGAGAATTTCTATATTAGTATACTAGTGTATTTTATACCAGTTTTATAGATTTAGAAGTAGGCCTTCGTTTGGTAGACCTTCTTTCTAACTTTTTTTCACCAGCATCCCACTCTGCTGTGCACTGGTACAGCTTCACATTGAGTCCTGTGTGCAGTTTTGGGTACCACAGTGCAAAAATGACGTTAAGGCATTAGAGAACTTCTAAAGAGCTGCGACGATGGTGAAGGAAACCCACATGAGGAGTGTTTGAGGTCACTTGGTCTGTTCAGCCTGGAGGAATCTGAGGGGAGACTTCATCACAGCCTAAACTTCCTTGTGAGGGGAAGAGGGGCAGGAACTGATCTCTTCCTTGTGGTGACCAGTGACAGGGACTGAGAGAATGGCGTGAAGTTGTGTTAAGGGTGGATATTAGAAAAAGGTTCTTCACCCAGAGGGTGGTTGAGCATGGGAACAGGCTCTCCAGGGAAT